AGCTCTTGCGCAGCAAGTCGTAGACTTTTGTTCGTCTTTGAGGTAAGTCTTCCTCTTAAATACTTTTGTTTATTCTCATCAGACCTGTTATAGAAGTAAAACAGCTTACAGTGTCGATGTAAAGGTTTTAACGTTTATGTGCAATTATATAAATATATCGTAACAAATAATACAAAGAAAAAAAAACAAACAACAATACAGTGAAAGTGAACGTGGTATCCGTAACTTTCAGATAGGGTCCAACAACAAAAGGGGCATCAATGCCTTATAAAAGATGAATGCAAGTAAACAAGGACACAATAGCAGTAAGTCGCAATCCCCACGGAAGGGGAGCGTCATAACAGTTCCACAGCAGTTTGGGGGATTTTAAAACCGTCCAGAATCGTTTATATGTCTTTGTCGTTTTCTGGCTTTGAGATTAAAACAATAGTATGGAATAGAATAGAATAGCTTTTTTTCGCATTATATGACATAATAAAATAACAGTTGCGTCTCTCTTGTGAGTCTAAATTTTGATTTAACTTTGATACTTAATGCCATTTAACACAAAAGCAAAACAAAGAAGCTCTGACTACAGCGACAAAACTAAGCCCGAAGTCAATGCAGAAACTTAACAATCGGTTTATATGAAAAGATCTGGAAGGGGGAGTTCATTGTTTTAAAAGCAAATATAAAAAACGAATTAAACACGACCAGAAGAGGGAGAAAAAACAGTCAATGATGAAGAAAAAGAGGACAAAACAAACAGAAAATGCTTTTTCTCTTGGAGCGAAATCGCATAATTAGCATGATTTATTTCGATTGTCTTTAATCTCGTTAATTTTACAACTTTTATTTTTCTTTAAGATTTCCAAGATGCATCTGTGGAGATATAAGTTATCAATGAGAGGCTACAGAGCCATGATTTTACAACACATGATTTTCTGCCTTCTCCTGATACACAGAGGTGAGTTCATAGTTTTATCAGCACGGTGTCTTTGCACTTCACATTGCACACGCTGCCTCTTAACTACGTGCAAAACATTTGTGGTTGAGATCAGTAACTTCCTCCTCCAGAATCAAAGAGCCAACCCACAAAGCATTTCACAATACAACCCCTATCAAGCATTTCTTTGTGTAGTCTTTTGTGTTTTGAATACTCTTTTCTACTGAACACTCATTTGATGTCACCATAGGATTATTAGACATTATTAGACATTTTTACTGCATAATTGCACTATATGTTTTGTTATGCAACCTTTTGTGTTTCTCCTCCTTAAACCAAAAAAACAGAAGTAAAGGCCACATTTTTGGTTGCCTGAACAGGTCATGATTGTTGTCATATATTATATTATATTATATTATATTATATTATATTATATTATATTATTTTAAATCGTAGTTTTTAATTATATCCTGGGGTCAGATGCCTTAAGTGGTATGGGTGTAAACAACTGTCATATGGTTTGACTTCAGTTTACAGTACAGTTTGTACATTTTTTTAATTTTCTTCTCTGAGCTCAACGTCACCAAGGTTAAGTGCTTGGTAAGTTAAGATAAGATAAACCTTTATTAGTCCCACACGTGGGAAATATTTGGGCCATGTAAGAAAGTACAAGTTTAAGAGCAGTAAAAGTAAAAAA